GGAGCCATCGATCTCCAGGATAGTTGACATAGATTGTCTCAAGGGGCAGTGAGCGCATTTGTTCTGGCGGGGTGTTTATTCCTGAAGAAGCGATGCAACACACTACATTAGTGTCTGCCAATGGGTTCATGGGTAGAGAGAAACTTTTTGGTTTGTCATGATTAATCAATATAGTAGTCGGTTACCACTGGGCATTAGAGACATGGCACTCAGGAAGCTTGCCAGTTCCTGAAACCCGGATTAAAATGAATTCAAGTAAGGAGTAGGCAACCGGATGAATTGTGAACTCGGAAAAAGTAAAGTCGCAACTTTTCTGCTTCAACCTCTTCTTTAAACCAATAGTCAATTTGGCATTTTTCAAGGATTATTATCTGCAATGAAAGGATATTCGGGCTTTCAAATACATATTCCATTTTTTATTTTTAGGCAATTTCGGACCAACTGGTAGCGGAAGAAGATCAAGACGTCCTGATTCGCCCATTTCAGCAAGAAGGGGTAAGAAATATATTGTGTCTAATGGTGGTGGCGCACTAATATTTCATTGAGCGGTCTACGGTGGGATTAATGATATGACAATTTTTTACCTTATTTTTATAAAGAAAATGTTAAATCTGCTGGAAGTGCAAGGACTCACGAGTCGATAACGTCTACAGAGACCGAAAAGCGTACGTTTTCCAATTATATTCTTGGAATTGAAATTTTGATTATTAGGCCTGCGGCTTTTCAAAGTAGTGCTAGATGTGAACTTTGCTTAGAGAAAAGTAAATAGATTGATTGTATTGCTGTGAATATGTTTACAATTATTCCAACATAGTATTATTGATTTTTATAGGTTTCAAAAAGTAATTACAAAATTACCATTTCATTTCAAATGCGGTATTAAATAGTTGAGACTGTAGCTAGTTGTTGTCTATGGTCAACCCACACTGGAGGTATCGATACTTGTCAACGACCATTCAATGATGTAGATGTCAAACCGTAATGGTTAATAATATGATTAAAATGAAGTTCTCATTTGTACACCCACTTGAAACTGTTTTCTGTCCAGCTGAAGTGTTGTTAATATCTCACATAATGGGCTCAGAAGTTGAGGATTTATGACGATTGTATTGTCATTGTGTTTTTGATTTTCTCATAATTGGAAAAACTTTTTGATCTTGACTCAAACCTAAACCACAGATTATGTCCAAGAAACGCTCCTTTGTATATGAGTTGAAATAATAGAAAGCTGACCCCCAAAACAACTCATTTTGTACCTAGCGTAAGAAGAGGTATTCAAGCACTTTCTAGCCCATTGACTTCGAGTAAATTGGGGCAGACAGCTAAAGGGTATGGAGTGGTTGGTATTAACTCATACACCAAACTTAGAGTCTAATAGTAGGGGCACTTTTGAGGAGGAAGAAAGTCGAGACAATCGACAAAATTCATTAACTCTAGGAGATTCATTTGCACTCCTCATTCTCTAATTAAGCAAAGAAAAATTAATTTTCAAAATATTCAGTTGTGATAAAGCGTATGAAAGCATGCATATCTTAATGATAAAACGAAAACAGTAGAAACAAATTGCTTTTTGAACAAAATTACCTATTCAAAATGAAGGGTTTTAATATTTTCCAAACTATGTCAATTTTTGCTTCTTTCGCGTTAAACGTGTTTTTGGTGACTATGCTTCTCCGAGTCCATTTGGCTTTTTGGAAGGAACTTTAACAAATAGTTTCTGATCACTTGGCATTGTCGCTAATGGTAGAATTTTTCCGACAATAAGATCTCGTTAATATGTGGCAGTATTGAAGAAAGTGGACGCCTTTAATTTTAATCGCTAAAACAGCTGATACCTTCCAATGTGTTAGTAAACACACAAGGATAATTCTTCTAGCAAGTAGAAAAAGGAGTCTGCTAGCCAGTTCCATCGCCAGCAGTTTAATGAAGGGATTCAAGTACCCCAAGAGGTCGTCAGTCGCGATGGGCGAGGATAAAGGTTAGTGAAGATAACATCACGCCTAATGCCCTGTTTTCCTTTTGCCTCTATTTATTTGTTTAACAATATTTGCCAAGAGAAGCCATTGTCTGCTAAGAGCAGTGGACGAGGAGTTGAACAGGTGACTCCCGAAGGGAACGTTAAAGGTAAATCCAAGTTTAGTCATTACTATTATTGTCTTATATTTGCTTTTGAATATGCATGGTGCGACGGATCAAATGTATGCAAATAGATATTGTGTTTGTGATGTCTAGGTGATACGAAGCCTTTGAGTGGCGTTCAAGAGCCTCAAGAAACACCACCAATGGTTGCTACAAGAAAAGGTAAGGAAGTACTCTTCTGAGATCTTAATTTATAACATTTCGGCTTTAAATGAGGAATGAAGGAGAGTAAATAATGATTTACTATTTTATTGTGATATGATTGCGATATACTGTAGTGAATCTACATGACCCTACTCAAGAACTTATTGACAATTTCACAATATCAGGTCTTATAAAAGATTTGAATACATGTTTAATTACACTTTCTTTGGACTCCCTCCTCAACTTTAAGTGAATGATCAACGGGCGTTTGTAGAGAAGAAGGGAATATGTGTGATGTATCCGAATAGATATTCTCTTAGCAGAAAAAGTCAGTTAGGAGATATATGCGTAAGAGAGGCTACATTTGAGGAATTGCGGTATCACTGATACTTCGCAAAAGTAGTTGAGATGAGAAGGCATCACCGAGCAGATCACCATAAGCCCAAAAATGATCCATTTACTGGTAAGCTTCTTTGTTTATTTGAAGAGTTGTGTCTCAAAAATCATTTGCGAATCCAATTCATCTGGATTTACTGAATAGCGACCCGGGAGAGAGAAAATGAAGAGGAGGTCTAGCCAGGATTCTTCTGATTTTGCTGCTCTTTCAAATGCCGTCCAAATACCTTCTTTGAAACGCACATGCACTCTCTCCATGTTCCTTCTCTTTTGAATTTGAACTTTTCATGATTGAAAGTTATACTGGCTGCTTGTTCAGCCATGAAAACAGCTAAATTAAATAACTCTGGCATCCAGATGGCAATTATAGAAGATAAGACGGTGCATTAGAGTGTACTGAATAACGAGGGTCCAACATAGATCAAAGCTTCAGAAAGGCTTCCATGCTCATGATGATAGAATCCGATATTGACAGTTAACTAAAAATATAATAATTATAATGGTCATAATGTTGTTTGTTCCGAATCAACCTAGATACACCGCGATCAGCTTTCATTAAAAAAGCAATGACAAAGTGTCCATTGGTCACAACAATTCCAAATAAATTGGACAATGCAACTCTGGAGTGCTCAAATACTCCCCGAAGTCAAGCTACCTTTAACGGCACTTATCTACTTGCTCCACCAGGATGCAAAAATATGCCCCCAGTTGCTGGACACCTGATGTGGTCCTCTGGAATCTCCCAACGCTTGGATGCTTCTAGATCACTTCTTGACAGTGTCGAACATCCGTGAGATAAATGAACTTAATTATTAATTCTTAAAACACATATATACTTTATGAAAACTTTTTTTATTAACTTAGTTCCATGCACTCGAAAAGAGCCGATCGAATAAGAAATATCATTACCCATTTTAAAAGCAAATTACTTGAGTGAGTAATTGTGAATTAAGTGGTTCTAATTCTTCTCTCAATAATTACGGTAACTTTTCTTTTTACTTGGGTAGGAATGACGAACGAATTTTTGATGACTGGGCTCGGAGAGTATCAGAAATCTGTGTCGAGGGTCTTTCAAAGCCTTTACTCTCTCGGCTTCCAGATGGGAGTTTATTTAGTGTTAACTTTGACCCAAATGTGCGTCAAACTTGATCTGCCCAGAATCGATCATATTTAGCGCGTTTTGTATATATTATCCTTTTGTTTATATTACAGTTAGCAACAACTCTTAGTGAAGTGAAGTATCTTCTAAACTTAGCCGGAACGAACATTCCTGATCCTGCACTGAGACTTTACGAGTATCGCTCAACTCTTCGGAAGTACAAGCTCTGCCTAGATGCGTTGGTATCCAGGTACACTCATCTACGAACAGGGCTCCCCAAGAGCGAGGCTGCTTTAATTGCCACTGAGCTAAGTCATATTGAGAAACTTTTGCAGGAAGGATCAACTAAACTAATCTGGTCCGATGAAGGTAAATAACATACATGCATAATACTTTAAATTCTCTACTTAGTAGTAAAACCTTTAATCTAGATTCTGTAAGCTACAATTCTCGGTTGAATACTACAATGAGTACTTTTAAGCCATTTGAAAACTTTGATGTGTCTAGTCTAATATAAATATGAACAGTGATTGATTCTAACTGCGACATATTTACGGCTACCAATAATTGAATTTGGAGAAATTAGTAAGAAGTTCTGCTCTACCAACCATGACAGTTTAAAGGAAAATGATTGTTATTCACCCTTTGAAGACTGGTATTCGATATGTCGAGAATAGATTAAACCCTCGTCCTAGAAAGGATCATAGTTCATCTCCACATTTGAAAAAGCCACAACACCTTTGTTGCTTAATGAAGCTTAGATGTAACATTTGAGACACCCAACGGTATACAAGATCGTTTTGATAAGGCTTAATTAAAGCTGTCACTTTGAGTGCGGGCTTTCTCTGTTTGACCACATGTCAACTTGAGGTTCTATCTTCTACTACTCTCCAATATATATCTGCTCGCTAGAAATCAGTGGGATATAATTGGCTGAAGAATTGTGATAGAAGGAAGAGAGAAGGCAGGTAAACCCGACACTTTATCAACCAAACAAGTATTCACCACTAGATAAGAATGACATTAACCTTTGTGATATTGATGTGTGGGGGCCAAAACACTGTCGAAGAGATAACTGTCTATGAAAAAAGCTTTTATGAGCAGCGTGAAGGCACACGGGCCTAACGACAAGCTGTCAGAATTGGTTGTCCTAAGGCAAAGCGGCTTTGAACATACTTTTTATTGACTTCATACCAGTTTCGTGCCAAATCAATCGATATCTTCGAAAAATGCTGAAAATTTGTTTTTCAGCATAATTGATTTTTCAAATTGCAAAATGTCGTGATTTTCTACTATTGCATTTAATTTTGAAGAAAAACATTCAACTCCTTAAGTACGTTTCTAAAAATATCCGGAATTAAAAAGGCACAGAACGCTCCATAATGATTGATGGGTCTGTAGATTCTTCATGGAACCAAAAAATTTAGTTGTACATGTACGCAGTTTAACACCGGTTAAGCTACAGCAGCGAGAGATCGGTTTGGAAAAGATTAGGGATACTTGGGCTAAAGTGATTTGAGGTATTTATTACTTAGATCAAAGAAGAAGACAGGTAACAGCTTTTGCCAAACGATCTCTTGAAGAGGCATTATGGTTATCAAGTTGGTTTGTGGCGTCTCAGCCTTCCATAACTTTGATTAAACTTAAAACCGAAAAACGAGCATTGGAGTTCTCAAAAATCGGGCATTTCCATTTTTTGCATACACACGAATACTTCGAGGAGCTTCTCCACTTCCTGCGTTTGCGCAAGTTCCCTTAAAGTGGAGTTTTGCTCTGTGGAAGACAGTAATTGGCTTGGATCTTTCTTATCCAGTTATAATCCACACATTCTTCTATCCCATTTAAGGTGCTTGGGACCACATTGCAACCGCACGTGATATTACAAACGACTTATTTCAAAGAGTCAAACAAGCCGAAGATAATTTTTGCACCATTCAAAAGATCATGTCTACATGGACTAAGGAACCATTGTTTGAACGAAGAGGTGGGAAAGCAGAGAACCAACTTGAAAGAACTGGAAAATTCGAGAAACGAAGAATTGAAATCAAAGAGGCGGGAGAGAAAGTTGAGAATTTACTAGAGGTAAAGCTATAATCGATGACAGTAGAGATATGGAAATTCGAGTCTGCCGGCTATATGTAAAAGTACTTATAATTTTTTATTGAACAGGCAAACCGGTGTCTCTTTAAAGCAAATACTGAAAGCAGGACCTGGAAAATCTATATTCAAGTCGTTTGCAATGTTGTCTCAAAGGGTTTTGTGGAAGCTATCCGTTGTTCCCTTGAGTATCTTCTCTCAGAAACTAACAAGGAGAACACCGCAATTCACCCTCTATTCGAAATACAAATGGACCTCAAAGTATATTTAGCGGACATTTGTCATAATGCATTATTTTAGATGAATGCCATCAACTTCATACCAGCATTAGATCAAGGACCGGATACCACCTTCTTTGATATCTGCAATGGGATTTTGGACGATATCTACAAACAAGCCGATCAGATGAAGCGAATTGACGTACACACTGACGGCCCCCAAACATACAAGGTTGATACTAATCTGATTTTCTTTGGAATTACAGTTGGTTTTGCATGAATAGGTTCGATGGATGAATGAACACATTAATTCCTTGATCAACATGTGTTAGTCACAGTGAACGATACATGGTGGCTGAATAAGCGTAATGATTGAACAACAAGGCCTTGGATCGCTGATAACAAATAAAAGAGATCATAATACCTTAATACCTGACGAGAAAGTGTGCAATTTTCTGTTCAGTATCATCATCTTCATTTTGGGTGTATACATTTCATGAAATTGGTTTTAAAAAGCTTTTGAATAAAGTTTGCACCTTAAATTAGGGAAATATATATTACAATAGCATTTTCAAACTTCTTTGAACTTCAAGGTGAACAGTATGGAGTAAGCACTGAATGTAGATGAAGCATCTCTCCAATGAGAAATATAGAGGGTTTTATTGAAAAATTATGGAGTCTGATCAAGAAAGGGAAAAATTTAGAAGAAACCCAATGCACAAAGAAGTTGCGTTACTGTGAAATAACTTTACTCAAAATGACCATCGTTAGCACCTATCACGGTCCTAATCCGCCACTTGTTCCCGAATAAGCTGGTTTTGCACTCGTCCTGGAACCGGTATCAAAAACGTCTCCTATTAACTTTGCTCTTGTCAACCTGGCAAGGGATTAATTCGTTCCCGACACACGCCAACGCATTCGTTATAATTCATTGGGTTAAGACCTAGTAGGAACGAGAAAGGGGTTTGGAGCCCAAGCAGCTGGACGGATGTAGCTGAAAGTAATGAGCGACAACCATTTACCACTTTTCTTTTTGTCGTGTGGCATGAGGCTGGTTTCTTCCAACGGCATATATCCGACCCCCCAATGGCTGTCCTCTTTCTTTATCCACGGCTTAAACACTACGCTGGTCTGCGCTTTCTCATAGGCATCTGAATTCAGCTTAGGTTGCTATTTAAATAGTTGTCGAGGGAGGCATCACAACACCCGTGGAGAAGGGTACATCCGAAAACAATGACACTTCACTCAAGTTTAGTCTGTATGGCTTGGGGAGTGGCCTTTGGACTGTATACCAGTCAAGCCAACTGTACTTCAGTTTTTTGTGCGCTTTTTTTCTTGGCTAAAGGGAAATTAGACAGATAGCTAGTGCTTCAGTAGGGTGCTTTTCTTCTATCAGAAGTTTTGTTCACTCTGTCAAACTATTTTTGCGGACTATTACTGTGCTAAGTTTACCTCTGTGACGCTTCTTTAAGCTTTTGGTAGCGAAGGTCTTCATTGCGTTCAATCTTTGCAGTATGCTCAAGCATTCGCTAACTATGGTGAAAAATCCCTATTTGTGTTGTCAAATGCTGAGAGTAATCATGATACAAGATAAATCCCTTCCATGATTCATATGGGTTCTAGTCATCCATTATCTTTGTTTTCATGCAAACGAATAAAGATTGCTTAAGACCTTTAAAGCAAATGTAGTGTGCGTGAAGACCTTTAATATATCTATAATTTTTTCCCTGTGCAAGGTTTATGTTCAGTTAGAATATAATTTACTGATCGTATGGGTGGATGCATATCCACAGCAGAGGGGAAGAGCTTAGGGAAATGACAGGGGTATTGTGTTCAAAAGACTTTTGATAATTACCTCTCCACGTGGTGCACCCTGGGAAACGTATACTCATACGGCTCCACGTGGTGCACCCTGGGCAACGTATACTCATAAGGCACCACGTGGTGCACCCTGGGCAACGTGTACTCATACGGCAAGTAAGTCTATCACGTGGTGCACCCTGGGCAACGTATACTCATACGGCAAACAAACTGGTGCACCCTGGGCAACGTATACACGGCAAAAGAGTCCGTGGTGCACCCTGGGAAACGTATACTCATACGGCAAAAAGTCTATTAATCGGCACTTGACTTCTGACTACGAACTACAATCACCCCTCTGTATGTCATATTCGACCAATTTTACAGTACTTCTCCTATCTTTTCTCCGTCTTTGTGTCTGTCTTTCTCCTTTACATCTCTAAATCACTCTTCTGTCCCCCCTCTCGAATTTTTATCACTTTGATGTTCCCCCTCCTCCTTTGTGAAGCCCGAAGTCAGCTATAGGGCTAATGGTAACTATCAAAAGGCCAGCCATGTGATATAAATAAAATAAACCACTTCTGTTCTCAATTCAGAGAGCATGAACTACCGCATATTAAAAAGAACTTTTGAGGAGCCTAGCACTGATTAAAATGTCAACCTTAAATTTCGCCTTTTGAGTTATATGTTCTTTCAATAGTGCAAGACCGTTCATACTCGTGAACATTTTCATTAATTTCTTGGTTTTCGTATGAAATCAACTAAAGTGGCGGAAAGCGAATTTGTTGACTGTTTAACTGTCAAACTGGTGATTTTTCTTTGGAGAATTGGTCCATTTGCCCTAGCCATCACCTTGCATCAGCTTTCTGTGGGGTTCTTCTGGGAATCTGATTACTCCAAGGAAGCTTAAGAGGAAGTTTTTTTGATTAAAACTGGTTGGGCTATTTTCCGAGGGAGACCACTGAGCCAGCTCTTCAAGAATTAGTTCAAAAATCAGTCTTCTCTCAGCATTAGTTCAAATTCAATAGACACCCTTAGTACTATTGCGGTAAAGTTCGGGAAATAGTAAATTGGTAAAGTGTGTGTGAGCATACGTATGATTTTAAGCATAAATGGATGAGAGCAAACTTAGGGAAGAAAGATAAGTGGAAATTTGAGTTAAATTGGCGAGCAACTTAAGGGCATTATTTAAAATTCAAATATCTCATGGTCGCCTGATGTACTGTTGAAAGTTCTTTTTGTCTCTGCTTATGATATTGATTTAATTTATTTGACAATAACCCAGTCATTGGCCATTGCAAATGTTAGGCATACATTTAAGACGTAAAGCATATTACCATGTCTGCATTGACTAACATGAAAACAATTTTGCTTAAACAGCCCTTGATGGATGAGAATCCCGATCTTGAAGAGTTGAGACAGACCTTCGTTGAGCGAATTGAGGCCGTTGTACAAAGTGCTCAAGAGTTCCATAACAGTATGGAAAGTTTTGCCTACCTTTGGACAGAGAATCGAGAGGAGAGTCTGAAAGCATTCCTTAATGAGAAGATCGACGAATCTGACTCAGATAAATCTCAGCCAGTGCCATCTCTTGATCGATTCAAGGCAAAGATTGATGAATATGAAAATATCTACTTGGAGGTAAAGTTTTTTTTATAAATTTTGACTTGTTTCTCCCTAGATAAGCAATATGGAGGACACCATTCTTGTTGAGCCCTGGTTCAAAATTGATGCCAAAAGATTCAAGCAGAGTCTGATAAATTGTGTGAAACGTTGGAGTTTGCTTTTCAAGAAATACTTGGTCAACTTTTTGGAGACCAGCCTAAGGGATCTCGACAATTTCATTAAGGTGAATTATTTTCTACAAAATAATAATAATAATAATAATTTAACCGATGAGCTATAATCTTTGTTTCTATGCGGTAGCATTCATGTGTAGGGTGACTTACCGATATACTGGAATTGGTGATGTCTTGTGAGAAAATTTATTTGGACTATTTAAATAATTTTACTCCTTTTAGACATCAGGCAAGAATTTGGAAGAAGACCCCTCACCAGGGGACTATGATCGTTTGATAGAGATTATGAGTTGCCTTGGAGCGGTCAAGTCTCGCCAGGCTAATACTGATGAGATGTTCGAGCCATTGAAACGAACTGTTGATCTTCTACAATCCTATGGTCAAGAAGTGACTCCGGAGATACTCTCTCTGACTGAGGTAAGCTACATTTTAGTAGCCGTAAAACCTGACAACCAATTGGCCTTAATTATATCAGGTTTTAGCCAAGATACCGCTAAGTAGGCTTACATAATAACATGCTAAATGGAATAAATTTGATTTGGTGATCCCTCTTAAAATTAGTGGTCTTTCAATATTTAGCGGAATGCAATATCCTTTATTGAAAGAGATAACCAAGAGTCAATCAGGACCAAAGTATGGCAGAGAACTGAGAATAAACGAGGGGGAGGGGGGGGGGGGGGGGGGGGGTAGGAAACTCCGCCAGGAATGGAAAGGGGAATTGGAAGGACTGGCGAAGTGAGGTGGGATATGGCATTTGAAATGTTCGACTTTCTTTGATTGTCGATGAGAAACTTACAAGTGGGACATTGGCATGAAACAGCAGATGCTTACTGCATGGAAGGGACATGGGTGAGGCTGAGCATGTGCCTTGGATATTAACTATACTCTCGACTTCTCCTTTAAGCGCCACGTACTTTTTCATGTTTCCTTACAGGAGCTGCCCAGACGTTGGGGCAACTTGAAGAAGCGCGTTGTATTAATGAAACAGGTTGTGGCTCCGTTACAGTCTGATGAAGTGGCGAAGGTCCGAAAATGGGCCTCACAATTTGAAGCTAAGCAATTCAAGTATCGTGAATATTTCCTCAAGATTCCTCCCTTCCAACTCGAATGTGAGGATCCTTATAGAATACTTGATAAAGTAAGTCAATTGTATGACTGGAGTGTGGCAAGTTTGTGGTTGCAGCTTACTAAGATTCAGTAAATTATGATGATGGTAGAATTTTTGCGCCCCGAACTTCCACTTATTGGCCAAGTAATATCTCATGGCAAATAAAATCCTTTAATATTTTTCACTGCTAAATATTTAGCAGACACCAGAGCGGTAAATTCGCTTATGTGATCGCTTATGACCTGTCGATAGCGGTAAAATGAAATGAAGATCATCTGTGGGATACATTTAGCCAATTTTTAAACGCAGCATATTATTTTTTTGGGTCCTCAACCTAGCTAGCCAGATGAAGGCGCGCACGATCTATATGTGTGCGGGTACTTAAGTACTTAATAATATATAAGGTTACAACTAAGTCATTGCCGATTTCAAATAAGAAGGCAAATTCTTCATTGGCTGAGTCAATATATATTAGGTAGGCAACTAAGTCATTGCCTATTCAAATAAGAAGGCAAATTCGGAATTTTTGTTTAAAAATATAACTTTATTCAATTAGATATTGGCCGTTCTTGTCGACGAATAACTTTATTCAATTAGATATTGGCCGTTCTTGTCGATCGATATTCAATTAGATATTCAATTAGCTATTGACCGTTCTTGTCGATGACCTTTTACAGATGACCTTTTTCCATCGTTCTGGCAGAGTAAAAATTCCGATTAGATATTGGCCGTTCTTGTCGATGACCTTTTTCCAACAATGACCTTTTTCCATCCTTCTGGCAGAGTAAAAATGCCCCCTTCGTAAAATAGTCTGTCTTTGCTATTAAAAAACTGAATTAGGTGTGATCCCACATATCCGCGTTGTTACAAATTTTACCATTTAAAGAGTTTTGCATGGAACGAAACAAATGGTAATCCGAAGGCGCAAGGTTATGGAACGAAACAAATGGTAATCTTTTAAAGAGTGTTGCATGGAACGAAACAAATGGTAATCCTAAGGCGCAAGGTCAGGGCTATATGGTGGGTGTGACAAAACCCCCCAACCCTGTTCTTCCAATAATTTTTGCCGAGTAACCAAAGATATGGGAAAATTTTTAAGATGTGTGGGGCCTTGCGTTATCATGATGGAAAACAAATGTGTGGGGCCTTGCGTTATCATGATGGAAAACAACAATCATTAAAGATGTGTGGGGCCTTGCGTTATCATGATGGAAAACGAACCTTCCGATTTGATAATGCCGGCCGCCTATCTTCAATTGCGTCCTTCACTTTTTCGAGTTGTTCAACATTCACATTTGAATTTATTGTTTGGTTCTGCGACATGAGTTCAAAATAC